AAAGTACTGAGTATCCTACATTTTAAACCAAGTTTTGCTAGAAAAAAATGTCTTACAATTTAAACCAAAGGAAATATATAAAAGATCTATCAAGAATGATTCATTTATTAGGGAGGGATTTGAAGCAAACTCTAAGAGTTTAAATAAACTCCAAAAATAAAGATAAAATCATATTGTAATCTTGTAATAACTTACTTTTATTTATATAAAGTTATTAAAACACTTAACTATTTTAATAAAAATATTGATATTTCATATTTTATGCATATTATATTAAATTAAGTGGTCAATGTTAATTAAAAAATTTAAAATTTAGACATATTTTTCAAGTTGAATTTATCAATATTCAATAAAAAGCATAGAATTAGAAACTCCATGGCGTTGATAAAGAATTGCACTTGAGACTATAGAAAAAGTTTTCTCACCGCAACAGCGCATCACACATCTGAATGGGAATTGATTTCGCCTTGATGAGATCTTGATCTAATAATAAAATTTTTAAATTTTTTTATAAAATTTTATTTCGGTAAATATAATCTTAAGCACTTTCAAAAAAACAGAGAAAAAATTTGCAAGGTAAATATTTTAAATTTAGACTATGCAAAGTACATCTAGATAATTAATTTATAAAAGTTTTTAAAACTTTTAATATTAGCTTAGATCATTCAAATTAAATTTATATCATCCAAATTGATTATAAAATAAATTTGTGAAATTTTTTGTAATTTTTGTTTCAATAAAAATAAAATAAAAAATAATCTTTTAAATTTAAATCATCTAGACTAAGATATGAGTGCTAAGCACCCGTGCCAATTCCCATCTAAATGATGAGTTACTCCGAGTTAACGCGGCTTGCATTTTAGAAAGCAAGTTGACAGGGTTTTCATTATTTCTCGTGGCATCGAGATACAAACTCACTGAGTTAACTCTAGTTTGGTGTAATTACCATAGCATTGAAATCTATGTAAACAAGATTAGATAATTTGGTAAATTGTTGAATCAGGGTCTTAAATAGTTTAATAGAATATTTTATTTATGACAGATATGATCACTGTTCGACTACAATTTTTAAAAATTAATTCTTGAATCAGTATCTTAACTGATTTAATAACCAGTCTAATTTTTAGAGTCACAATATTACTTATTTCTGCTATATATAATTAGAAATTTCTTTTAACTTAGATTTAAAATCTATGACATTATTGTCATTATTTTAGCTCTAGAAAGTTATTTTAATTTTATTTATTTATTATATATATCAGGCACATACTTTATATGGGAGCTACGCGCTTCAAAATAGTTTAATTATTTTGATAGGACATTTTTCCTCAATTAAAGGGTAAGTGGTGGTACGTGTTATCTCCACCTCAAATTATAAAATAATTTTAAAAATATTTTATTATTAAAAAATATAAAGTAATTTGAGAAAAATAAAGTATTATTAATTATGTTTTTATAATACTACACTTAAAGAGAGAATTGAAATGATATTGTGGTGTTATAGTTAAGTGCATAGATTTTTTTTTTCTTGAAAGTTTATAGATTTATATTGAAAAAGTAAACTTGTAAAGTGTCATTATTAAGTTTTATTGATATACATAATCATGTCTTAAATTATTTTATAATTTTTAAATTATTTTATAATTTAGGACGGAGAAAATATTTATTTGTAGTTAATTATAATTATGAACGAATAAAAGATTAAAAGGAAAAAAAAAAAAAGAAGCAATGCTATCGATGACGATTGTATAAGCTAATCACGCCAAGTGGCCACTATTTATTCTAATAAAATGGGATTATTGTTGAGGCTTTGCATGATCCAGCTGTTCTCAAACTTAGTTTACCATATCATCATTTCGTTTTCACATTCTCAAGCCAATTTTTTATATAAATTACGTTTTCGTCATGATTACTTAATCCTCTTCTTCAAAATCTTGAATTTTTGCTCTATTCAAAATATAAATAAGTACTTTTCGGTAATATCTAATGCATTCATCATTTTAATCCTGTCTTGTCCTTCCATTTTATATTCCACGATACTTTAAACAAGATTGTTTTTAATATGTTTATGATTGATTTACTCAATGAGAATATTAATTAGGAAAAAGTATTATAAATACTTAACAAATTTAATAAGTTAATCATCTTTTAACTCTGATCCTTTCCTCGAATATGTGAAGGCGCATAGTTAATTGTGATTTATATTTTGGATTGGAGCCAATATAATAAATCATGTAAATGTTCTAGATTTTTTTAAACTCTTTTTTATATATATTTTGATAAATATAATAAATCATGTAAATGTTCTAGATTTTTTTTAAACTCTTTTATATATATATATATATATATTGATAATTTTTCTAACAATTAGAAGCAGCAGTTGTGCCTGTTGGGAAAGATCATAAAATCAATTGAGATTTGACACCATCGTTTTATACAAATATACCAAAACACCTCTGTCAAATGAAAAAATCAACTATAATTTCAAAATCATGATTTTCTTAAAAATGTTTAAACACCTGTTACACATGTCAAAATAAATTATAAACCAAAATCCATATTTTTTAAATAATATTTTTTAAATTTAAAATTATGTTTGAAGCACAGTTGGATAGTACATGTAAACATTTTTGTTAGTAAGAATCCAAACCTTAGTTTGTTACAGTTGCACATTTTGCTTAATCCAACCCTTGCGATCATTAATAGATTCAATATAATATTTCTGGAAACCAATTAATGGTTTTTTTTTTTTGGGAAATGACGTTAAGGAATCAAAAGGTTAAATTAAACTTAAATAAAAACCAGGAGATTTGGAAATTCAAAATAAGGACCAAATATCTTTTGGTGAATTAACCTAAAAAATTGTTACTCTCATTCCATAACTTACAACCATTAAAACATGAATTCATGTAAAATTAGTATGATTTGTTAAGGAAATTATTTTCAGTTGATGATATATTTAACGATTCTTTTTATAAATTAACAAATCTCAATTAAAAATTTTTATGTTGAAAAGGTTGCTAATCATGAAATGAAAGTAGTAAACTTTTAAACTAAATCACTCAAAGATCTTTAGATTTTATTTCAAATTTCCAAGTCTTATAGTGTTCGTGTAAATTTAATTCAATATTTTAGTCCTTTTACATTATTCCTCTTTATTTTCGAGAGAAAGAGAGGGAGAGATGGTTATAGTTGAATACTTGAATTTCTAGCTGCACATGATTAGTCACGAATATAGTATAATTGTAATAAGTACTCAATAATCTTATGGTTAGAATTATTGATAAATGATGTGCGTGTTTGTGTGTGTAAGAATAAAGTGATGGGTTGAGAATTACGGACAAATGAAGAGGTGTAATTAACTAATTACTGCCACGTCATCTACGTGGGCCTAATTATAGTATAATTGCTTCTAAAATATTAAGAGAAAATCTAAATCCAATCTCTGAACTAGTGTACCTTTCTTTCTTGTGGTCCACTATGCATCTATATAAAAAATTGAAACTTGGAATTCAATGCACAGTTTTTCAGATAACTTTGAATTCAACCAAACATAAATTAAAATTAATTAAATTTATCATTAAATTTATCTTTTTTGAGTTGTAAATGTATGACATGAGGATCTCTAAATTAAATGAAAATGTTTTTCAAGAGAATCTCATAGCTTTGAGATTAAATTATAACATTAATATTTTTTAAAGAATTAATTAATTACATGAGACTGAATTACAAAATGTTACTTTTACATTCGAACGTTATTTATGTATTATAATTATATTGAAAAATATATAGAAGTCGTGATGCTAAAAACTCAATTACTAAACTATTTTAAGTTTTGGAATTTATACAAAAATTTCTATTGTTGATGAATTCATTAATTTATTCACATCAACAATCAACTTTCTTAAGCTTTGATTTTCTTAAAAAATATTTTTATGGACCAATTTTTTTAATTAATAAATAATTGATAAATCATCTCACTTTAGTAATGATTAGATTGATAGAAGAAACTCAACTTCCTTTGTATCATAACATTGAAACATGGGAGAATGACAGAAAGATCTCAAAATAATTAATTAATTTCATTTAGATATCAAATATTAAATTGCAAAAATTTGTAAGTTTAACTCTCAATTTTGTAAGTTCATTATAATGAATTTATAATTTATTTTTAAAATTTTAACATAGTCAAAAAATGTTAAAATTTAAAATACAAACTAAAAATTCATCACAATAAATTTGCAAAATTGAGAATTAAATTTGTAAACTTTTAGAGTCTCTTTTAAGACTTTTCTGTCATTTTCTCTTGAAACATTGCAAATAAAAAGAATAAAATTAAAAACATCTATCCCAATTAAGCTAAAAAAATATTAAATTTAATTCAATAATATTAGATATTAATAGTGGAGTTAAATTAAAAATTTGAAACCATGTAGCATTATATAAGTTTTAAAAAATTGTTTGCGTATAGGGTTCAGTTTAGCCAATTCCTGCAATTAATAATCTGACACCCAACAGGCATGGGTCACTGCTGCAAGAAGGAGAAGCCAGTGAACCTAAAATAAAAAGACAAAAAAGTCTTTATGATATAAAATAAGAAATTAATTTAAAATATCCGAATTGCTGATCCCAGTCCCAGGTTCATTTTGCTGTTAGAGTTCTATGAATTTGGATTAACTAGTGGGCCTTAACCTGGGCCACCCACTGAAAACCGCGTCTCAAACAGTGAAATAATTTTTAAATTCTCACTTATTTTATCCCAAGAAAAAGTCTCACTTGCTCCCGACATTAAATTTTTTATTTGAATAATAAATTCCAAAACTGAAAGGAACATACGAATATCCTTGACGCAATATTTTAGTACAATTGATTATGTTTTTAATACGAGAATCTCTAGTCTCTACATTTCATTTTTAAAATATTTAATATGTTTTCATCTCATGTCATTTTATCCAAATTTTAAAATAATGCAATCCTCCTAAGCAATTTATTAGAATGAAAGAAATTCAATTTTTTTTTTTAATTTGTGCTTGTCATTTTTGTGTAGAGACCATAATAATCTTCTCTCTATTGTTCCAATTTTACCGAATGTCCTCAAAGAGACAGGAATTCAATTTTTTTTTTTTCCTTTACGTGAAGTTGAGAGTTTGAACCTTGTCAATGGAAAAATCACATAAAAATTCTACCTTAAATTGAATTCAACAATAATCGAATTTGACGCAATAACATTTTAAATCCCAAATAAATGCATAAAAAAACCTTGTGATGATGACAATCAATATGAATAATAAAAAAATTTCTAACAAAATTTAATGGGCACATTCCAACGTACACTAAATCAATTATCCTATTATCATATAGAAATTTTTAGAAGTGGATTAGCTTTCTCTTTTTCTTTTTTTTCCTTATTTTACAAACCATATTTTTTGGTATTGATTATCTGTAATTAATATTGACGAGTCAAATTTGAGAGAAGCTTTTTCAATATGTATATTTTTTTTCATTCATAAATATTAAATTTGAAATCTTAATCGAGCCTCCGACGGTACGATGGACGTTGGTTACGTTATCCTTATCTAATTATATAATTAATTTTATTATATGATGCAAAAGATATTATTGTACGTATGGAAACGTAGAAGAATCAGTCAAATAGATTATGAACACGTGTGCAACTGCTAAGAAGCTCACTCTGATTAAACCATGTTAGCTGTACCCGCTTTAATCTAACACACGCCCACGTCAACCTCAAATCACCTTTTTTTTTTAATTGAACATTTAATTTAATTTTAACTTTAATTGACATTACCAATAATATCTCTTTTTCTAGACATAAGAACAAGTGAAACAGCCCCTCCCGACCACAATATCATAGAGATATTTTCTAACAGCTCTGGTTAATTGGTTCAAAATATAAAATATTAAGTAATTTTTTTTTATACCCCTACTTTATTTATTATTTTATAAATAATATATTGAAATTTCAGTTGTCATTGTTAATATATTTATGTAGAATATTTAATGAAACTATAGTTAAAAAAAGTACAATTTTTTTACCAAGAGATTCAAATTTTACGTTAAAAAATAGCTGCATATACTCTTGTATTGCGATCTAGGGTAAATGACCTACAAGAATAAAGAAAATTAATTAAGTCAGTTATTTGTTATTATTTTGTAAATGCGTTGATTTGTTCTAAAGTACCCTTGAAGAGAGAGAACATTAAAGGTGGGAGATGCAAAGAAATAGATAATAAAAAAATCATGAAATTAATTGGATAATTTAGAAGATAAATATTAAATAAGGGATATAAAGAAAATTAAGATTATGTTATTAAGATCATAACAACCCCTTGGCTTCTTAACAACAAAAGCAAAACGATACAATTAATAATTAACTAATTAATTAGTTCATTAATTAAATAAAAGAGAATTTGGGCATGCTCATGCTAATCCGGGCCCCACAATTCTATGAAACAACGAGGAAGCTCACTGAAACCCACGAGCTTTGTCCACGTTTCAACTCACAACACACTCTCTCACCCACAGAATCAACGTCTATAAATAACCTAACTTCCTCATTCACACAAACACAACATTTCTCACTCATCTTCATCAACTTCTACTCATCAATCTATCTTCTGAACACTATTGCAGACTTACATGGATATGTCTTCTGATATTTCACATGCCGCTTCGTCTTCGTCTCCATACAGAGGTGTTCGCAAGAGAAAATGGGGGAAATGGGTTTCCGAAATCAGAGAGCCTGGAAAGAAGACCAGAATTTGGTTGGGCAGCTTCAAGACGCCGGAGATGGCCGCTGCGGCCTACGATGTCGCTGCTTTGCACTTCCGGGGACGCGACGCCAGGCTCAACTTCCCCGAGCTCGCCGGCAGCCTCCCCCGACCAGCAAGTAATGACGCCGACGACATTCGCATGGCGGCACATGAGGCCGCCCTAAGGCTGATGACGACCGGGTCTGCCGCAGTTCTTGAGCAGTCGTCTGGCTCCGAGGCGGCACCGATGATGGTCCGGCTCTCGCCGATGCAGATTCAGGCGATCAATGAGATGCCGCTAGACTCGCCGAGGATGTGGATGCAAATGGCGGACTCAACGATGTTAGATGAAACGATGTCGTTTATGTATGAGTATGACGAGGATATGCAAAGTGATTCTCTGTGGGATCCATAGGGGTAATATTTAATTCAATACATTATATAATTATAGATATAGATAATTATTATAATATTGGAAATATTCACATAGGATTAGATATAATATAAATAATTAGTCAATGTTTAATTAATCAGGTTGTTGACAAATCAATTGATGAACTAGAGCTAGCTGTAGGAATTGAAATTGAAAGTTTCTTAAAAAAACAAAAAACAAAAAAAAAAAAACCAGAAGCTGTGGGTTCATTTTCTTCAAAGATGATGAAAGGAGGTGATGACTTTGATATTAAACTGTCTTATTAATTAATTGATTGAGAGAGAATTTATGGTAAATACTATATTTAATTTGTTTCTTTAACACGAGTCTTCCTAGAATTGATAGAGGGTTGGAATTTCTCGTGTAGTATTTAATTAAATTAAAATGATTATTTTCGGTAACATGATTGATCAAAGAATTTTTATGATGGAGACATAAAAAAAATTAAGAATTAGTAATAATCATAGGTAGGGATTAGGGAGTGAGATTTAAGTATGTTGTGTGATGTTCAAAATTTAGAGCCACAAACTTGCAAATTGGCTGTATTTTTGTAAGCTGTGGAAGAGTGTGGTGTGACTGAGTGTATAATTTTTTTTTTTTGGACCATGTGACTGTGATGTAAAATTTGTACTTCTGAAAAATTGATGTTTAATAATAATATTTGTTGTTCAAATGTTAACTTGTACTGTACTTATTGATGCCATTTTTTTCCCCCAACACGATAGCCTTTTTTTTTTTTAATTTTTAATTCTCTGCTTTAAACCGTTATATCTTTGGGCCTTTAATTTAATGACAATTTATTTGATCATTGGGCTTTCGTTTTAATGGGCTTCAAAGTGCAACTTATATTATGGACCTCATAAGTAGCAACACAACCTTCACCCAAAAAGAGGAGGGGAAAAAAGCAGCACAAGTAATACACCACAAAATATTTTGGGAGAATTTCATTCAGCCTCCTCTTAAAATTTTTTATCACTAAGGATTAATAATAAGTTTCATTTGAAAAAAAAAATCATGTTCTCATTTTAACAATAATCCATTTCACATTGATCCTTATCTATGATTAATTCTCTTAAATAGGAACTGAATGTGGTTTTTTCAAATACCAATAAGTTTAAAATGAGACAAGTTAAAGTTTAAATCCTCGTGATAATAGATGCCCACCACATTTAGTGCCATGTGATATTTTGAATAAAATTACTTTCAATAAAAAAATACCTAGAAGTAAATAAAAAAAAACTAACAAGTTAGTTTTAGTGAAAAGAATCCTAATCACTTAAATATGAGATTTTAAATTCGAGTTAGGATGAATGAAAAAAAAATATTTTTAAGAGAGTTATAATCAATTATCTAGGTATTCTACTCGAGCACATATATTAAAAGGGTCATATAGAAGAACATTTTACGAACTTGTTCAGAAAACGAGGGGAAAAAAAAACAATCTAACCTCATGAAAAGTAAATATTTTAAGTTTAGCAGAGACAATCGTCCTCAACTAAGCTATTGGTTATTTTAATACATGCAAACAATATTGCTGCTCGTAGTCAGTGACGAAGCTAGAACATGGAATTAGGGTTGTAAGGCAATTTAATTAACAAATTAATAATTTAAAAAATAATAATAATTACATTAGAACTAAAATTGCAATATCATAAGTATATTGACAATCATTTTCTTTTTTATAAAATTATATTAAACATGTTAGTAATCTCTTTTATGTAAATATGCTTTTCATATCTTATTTCTATCATTAGAATCTTACATATTTAATAAGCTTTTAAACTTCAGTGGTTTTATTTTGTTTAGATAGTGCAAAATATCAAAAATAGGGAGGATGTGCAAAATTATAAAATTCACATATCCCACCTGTAATTTTTCGGTAGTATATGAAAGATTAATCGTGAAGCTTTGTAGGGAAATGATTAATAAAGACTAACTTGAACTAATCATAACTTGTTTGTAATAAATTTTTAATCAGTTATATTTTTCGGTTAAATATGAAGGATACAAACTAAGTAAATCTTCATTACAACTCAACCCTGAATCATCGAGTCATGTGTGTTTATTAATTAATGCCTCCAGGTATATTTATATAAAAAAATTATGGTTAAAGTTTAACTATTTCTTATCAGCATAATTAAAATTTAACTATAAATGGATTAACAGTTTTGCTTGCAATCATAGTGTGGCAACTTAGGCATGCCCTCAGATTTATTAACAATGAGCGGGAGATTATTGTGAGACATGTTTTTAGGAAAAGTAATGGGATATGCATTCAGCATTTGTACCACATTGTCACAATTTATGTTCAAATAGAAGAGAACGTGTAATGTTATGGAGGTTTTGGACATCTAGAATAACAGAAAGAATTTTAAGATTTTTAAAAAGAATTCAACATGTTCTAGAATATTCTAGAAATGTCTAGAATAATTTAAAATTATCTAGAGAAATTTAAAATGATTCAAAAGTTTTTAAAAGGTTTTAGAAATTTATGGAGTAATGTAGAGATGTTTAGAATATTCTTAAATATTCTAAAACATTTCACACGTATCTTGAAAACTCTAAAATAAAGGAAAAGTTTATAAATACCTCATCACCCTTCATCTGTAACTACTAAAGCAAAACAATAAAGTTTTAAAGTTCATTCATTCAAACTCTTTACTTTTTATTTGTTTGACTAGCTCTCTTAATTCTCTTTGCCTTTGTTGTCGATTCGGTTGACTTAGCAAAAGATCAAGAGATTGATCATGCTAAAGCCAGTACGATTTAAGGATAGGGGAGTTCTAAGGTCGTGACAGTGTGCTCATCATTCTTAAGGCTGATTCTGGCTCTTCATTTTACTACAAAAGATCTTTGTCTGTTCATTTTTAAATTAATTTTTGAATATTTTAAAAATTATATTTATGAAAATAAAATTTTTAAAAAATTTATAAAAAAATTAATATTAGATTTAGATTGTCAAAGTACATCTAGATGGTTCATTTATAAAAAAAAATTATAATATTACACTGAACAGTTCAGACTATATTTATATTGTTAATGTATATATAGATAATCAATTTACAAAATTTATTAAAAAATAATATTAAATTGAATCTTTTAAATTACATATGTAAGGGCAAGACTAGTAATAAACAAATTTATTAAAAATATGATATTTTTTTATACAATTTTACTTTGATAAGTATAAAATAAAAAAAATTAAATCCATACTATCCCAATCTTGTTAAAGGTAATAACTTAAATCTAAATTATTCATATCCTATTAGAAGTGATGGGTTACTATAATGTTCATCCTCTAATGAGCACTGAGGCAGTCTAGATTGAATATTAAATTTTTTATAATTTTTATTTTTACAAATACAATATTTATAATATTTCAAAATTAATTTAAAATAACGGCAAGGATTTTTGAAGTAAAATGGAGGGCTAATCATTCTTGATTAGCCTCAACAATGCTGATCATATTGCGCATCCAAAAGTAATATGTGCCTGATTATCTTTCCAAGTTTGCAATTAATTTGAATTACATATATACTATTCTACCTAAGCTTCTAGAAGAGCTCTTGTAATGTTTGTGTCAAGATTAAGGGTACTGTTTATTGTTAGTTAATAAATTTGCTCTTCGCTTGGCCTCCTTTTTCATTGAAAAAAAAAATAAATATAACTTTTAGGGCTCATTTGTTTAAGCCTCTTTCATAAAAAAAAAAAAGCATTTTTTTAACAGATTATTTTATAACGTTTGTTTAAACTTTTAAAAATTATTAATTTTTTAAAAATATATTTCTGATTATTTTGATAAGCTAACTTATGTAGTTTTTAAAAATAATTTAATATGATAGGTGAGAGAAAATGTCACGAAAAGAAATGTACTATATAAAGATATAATCAAATTTTAAAATAATTAAGTAATAAATTATTTTTTATAACCGTAGATCTGTATCATAAAATTTAAAAATTATTAAATGAAAGAACTTTTTGTTATTATAAATAAACATAAAATATTTTTAACTTTTAATAAAATCTCTGCATAATAAATCCATTTTTATAAAATATTTTAAAAAATTAAAGATCACTTATTATTTTTTTTTCTTGTAATGTTGAACCAAAGGGCCTTAACCATATCTTAATTTTTAGGAGGTTTTGTGTCTTAGCTACACACCCATCCCATTTTATAGGATAATTTTGGAGATGATTTAGTCTCCTAAGACATGAGATATTTGAGGTAAAAAATAAAATTTTATTAACAATACTTATTTCAAAGATAATTTTGATAAAAGATAATTTTAAAAGCTTATATAAAAATTAAGTTGTAAAAAATATTAAATCAATATTTTATTAATATAAATATTATAATTTTTCATAGATAATTTTAAAAGCTTATATAAAAATTAAATTGTAAAAAATATTAAATCAATACTTTATTAATATAAAGATTATAATTTTTCATATACTCCTTCCACTAAAAAAATAAGATATTTTTAATAAAATCTTACCATTAATAAAGTAATTATTTATTTTTAAACTAACGCTATCTTTTTATTTTTATCTTTATTAAATATTTTATAATAAATATAAATAATTTATTTAATAGAGACATTTAAAAAAAATAATAATTATATCTTTAAGAAATAATTTATTTAGGATTCCATCAATTTTGATGAAATCAGATTCCTTCAAGAAAGCAATTCTGGTATACCAAACAAGCCAACTGAAGAATTCCATGTCTAATTTCATTTCTTTTTTCATAATTCTGATGTACCAAACATGGCCTTAAAAGATTAAAAATATTTTATATTTTTAAATATTAATTTTTAAAAAATATGTTATATTTTTAAACGAGAGAGTACTTATCTATTTGTCAAATTGTGTCTATCATGTGAAAGAAAAACATCGTCATTAATTGAAAGAAGTGTCCGCGGATGGCGCATTTTTTATCCGTCTATCAACTAACAAGAATCAACAAAATTCATTGAGCTTCGTAATATGAACTCAATCTCAGCCTTCGTTGCCTTGCCTCCTTCATCTTCGCTGCTCAATTCCTCCAAAATCCCCTCTTCTTCTAAAGTCACTCCTTTTGCTCCTCGTCATGCTTATTCGAATCTTCAAAACACAAGGAAGAAATGGACGATCCTCCAAGGAAATGGTGAGAACCAGTCGATTACAGTTGCATCACCAACGACCACCAACATTGACGACGACGATAGGACTTTGAGTTCGGCTTCGGAGGTTGTGAGGAATTTCTATGGAAGAATCAACGCCCACGATGTGGACTCTGTGGAGGACCTTATCGCTGAGAATTGTGTGTATGAGGACCTTATCTTTCCCCAACCATTTGTGGGTCGCAAGGTAACGAAGGCCATTCGTGTGAGATTATTCAAATTCGATCTTACATTGTATGTTTTGTGTGTTCAGGGAAATAAGCAGGTTAAGTTTTTTTCCATCGTCTCCTTTTTACTTTATTTCTTTCCAGTTGCATCATGTCATCTCTAAGCCGCCAGTATAGTCTGTTCAACTGCCAATGAAAAAAAAAAAAAGGCACACAAATAAGCACTGACTCACTTGCCCAGCTTGAAGGAATTTGAATATGCGGAGAAATATTCAATCTGAATCACTAGTGCAAGGGCCATATTACAAATCTAAATTTTGGGGTTGATAATCAAATTTTACAGTTGTTGGGTAAGTTCAATAAGTTGTCATGTTGAAGGGGGTTGTGTGCATTTGAGCTTGTAGACTTGAACAGTAAAGGATCAAGGATCGGGATTCGTGCTGTAATATGAAAAGGGTTAAGCGATGCAAATCTCAAGTGTAAGGAAATATTTGAACTTTGTGATAAAAGGTGGGAACGCTGACGGCCTCAGGCTACCGAACTGAACTATTATTCATTACAAACTCTTTTATGCTTACTCTAATTTATGTCACTCATAGGGTAAGCAGATAGTCACAATCATTTAAGGATCTCTAGCTAATCCCCGATTCAACTAACATTGACTACTGGCTTAATTACCAATGACATTAACCTTCTATTCTATGAAACATTTTGTTATTAAGAAATTGGAAATTGAAGTTGCAATTGGCCTAGGGATGGAGTAACAAGGGGGACGAACTATTGTAAGCAAGGAAAAATTAGTGTTCTTTTTGTATTTTTCCAGTTACTTAAAATCTGGTTACCGATTTTCCCCCTTGGTGTGTGGTCAATAGATTAGTTCCATTATTTTTGTTTTGGGCCAAAACAAATTCCCATTGTTATTGAGAATGAAATTCTCTTTTTACTGTAATTCTTCAGCAAAAAAAGTAATGGCCTTTGATGACAGAATTAGTAATCCAGAATCAGTTGTTCAAACTTCTGTAATATGACTGTTGTGGTTAGTAGTGCCATGATATGACTGTTTTCATATTTTTAGATTTAGCTTATCTTGTTCATCTTTTGTGTAGGAAATTCTGGCGTTTTTTCGAAAGTTCACCACTTCTACCAGCAAAGATCTTCAGTTTGTTATTGATGATTTGTCCACTAATGATCCCTCATCAGTAGGGGTGATATGGCACTTAGGTACATGATTCTAATATGCTTTAAAATTGATGTATAGTTGTTGTTGAGAGAGTTTTCCACTCATGTGGTCTGATCCATCTTAATGTGGAATAATTGGGGCCTAATATGGCTTTCAAAAACAAGTTGGTGTACCCAAAAAATTGATGCATCGCACTGTAGCTTCTGTTTTGGAAATTTATTTGTTATTTCTTTTTAACGTGCATCATTTGGGAATATTTGCAGAATGGAAGGGAAGACCTTTTCCCTTTAGCAAAGGATGCAGCTTTTATCGATTAGATGTCAATAATGGAAAGAGACAAATAATGTAAGCGACTTTGTTTTTTAATGGATTTATAGTGCCAGGAACATGTTACCTTCCTGATGATGGACAATCATTAAAAATTCATGTTATTCTACTTCTATGTTGAACTTACATGATAGGTGGTATGATTTATTAATTTTTAGGTTTGCTGGTTCAATAAACTTGACAGAACTTTCTGTTAAAAGACTTGGCATGTCTCAGTATGAAAAAGCTCGCAGGATTGCTTGTGAGTTGATAGCAACATTGCATATACTGCAAAGATAACAGAAATAACTCTGCATTAATGTTGAAACAGAAGAGACTCCTTGGACAGGAGGTATCGACACCCTAACTTGCACATATATCTCACTATTGCCAGGAATTCACAGTAATACACCTGCCATGGTACATGAATCACTCACATGAAAGCATATACTGCACTGAGAATATTCATAAGCGTATAGTAGAAAACAGAAATAAGATGACAGCTGCTGCCTGTCTTGAGAGGCCAGTTTTCTTCATTTTCTTTCCTGATTTCTCTCCTACCCTTTCTCTGTCACTTTCCATTAAAATAGCTGTTTCCAGCTACTCCCAACTGCCCCTCCTATTTTTACATAACTACTTCCCCCTCTTGCTTCTGTTTTTCTGAGTTTCTTTGGACCATAAACTTGGTGTTTTGTGTTTGACATTTAGTCCCTTTTGAGTTGTCATTCTGTAGCCCTGCCTTCTCTCCCCTCTCACTTCCTTTTGTGCCGTACCGTATGTCTGGCCTGCTTGCCTATTTGAGTGAGTTGAGTCCCATCACAAGTTAGTAACGAGATATACAGGTGTTGAAGCTAGAACAAAAAGATGTGCTAAGGAATGATGATGATGTGTTCTGATAGATGTTTTATTGGGGGCAAGATACTATTTAGGATACATGTCAAATCAGCTCAATTGGATGCATGGTATCTATTCTTGCCTGTTGACGTGGATACATTATTTTTTGTACTGTACATTATTGTAGGTAGTTTAATAAGTTAAGATGGACTAAGGTTTAAATATGTATCAAATTCTGAGCAGAATAAAATGGAGACTGAGACAAGGTTTCTTGGAATCACATAAATGACTTTCACACATGTCATGTGTAAATGTCAAAGTGTTTTACCTTTGATGGAATTGAATTAGTCAAGAAGCTCCTTTCAGAGCATAGCAACCTAAATTCCCATACATAAATATTTGTGTTTACTTGGCTGTTTCTACCAAAATTTCAAAATTATTGAAAACAGAGGATATGTCAACTCGCTTCAATGCAAGTGTTCAATGTTCTATATCTACTTGAAAAGAAAAATTTATACGAATGGTGGGTGATTCGTGAGATTGCTTTGTTTTTTCTTCTCCCCTCCGCCCAAAGCTTCCTATAGCACTTCAGGTGTTAGTTTCTTTTCCTACTATGTATTTGCGTTTGTTTTAATTTTTATTGCTCAATGTTTTCTCTATTCTTCCTTTTATTGAATTGCTCAGACGTTGCTAGACCCTAGTTGAGTAAGATTTTCCAACCTCTGGGACAAATAGTTTCAATCCAAATCTTTAGACGTGTTTCTGAATGGAACCCTCTTAATAGATGATACTCTTAGCGCAAATTTTATTGCCTTTCAATTTATAAATATGTATGTCACAGTAAACCCTCAGAAGTTCTCTCATAGAAGATCCTTTTCTTTTGTTAACAGATATGGGCGAGACAGTGTTGAACCAGCAATTAAACCTGGGGATGCAGCTCTGGTATGTGGGTTTTCCTTACCTCAGAAGTGCCTCATTCACTCCTTTTTGATTTATTTCCTTATTCTTACTCAACATGGTCCGTGCAAATAGGGCAAATCAAAAGCTAATAATCTAAATTTTACCTGAATGAAAATATTAATATATCATCGAATTTGTATTTTATGATATATGAAAATATTATTTATCCTTTCCATTTGGTTCTCATCGACTATGGGTTGAAGTTTTGATCAGCTCAATTTAAGTACCTCGATCGATTTGTTTTTTAAGCTTTTAGTAACAACTCTTTTGGAAATTGAACTTCAAGTAAATAGTGACATTATGGCTCATTTGATAAAATCTTCTGATGCTTATAAAAGAATTTCAAACTTAACCATAGAAATAGGAATTTTTGCCATAAAGACTGTGCCTTTCCTTGGACTCTTGGTTATTTTCTCAGAACTTTTCACGAAACTCTGAGTCCGAATTTTATGAGGTCACTTGACTAATTTTGACTGTGTCTGGCCCAATATAGGTTGAAGTGTTATTGATTTTTTTGTTAATTTACTTGCTAACTACTGATTCCCTCACGTCCAGCTGGTAAAATCTTATACTCAGTTCCAAATGGGCCACGAAATTCATAATAAATGAAATAACCGAGTTTCTTTTTCTTTATATCTTCTTCCCAGATCTTTTTTCCCCCTTTGTTAACTTGGATGTTTTATTGCATATGGAATCGTTAATTTCAGGAAAGTGTCAAATTCAATTTTTTTTTTTAAATAACAATTTCATTCAAGTAACTTGTGGAATAACTATCAGCACGGCTTACATGGTAATCATATAATATCAGGCAGCAATTAGGAGCGTGACTTGGCTTCTTAAGCAGTTTCCTCAGTTAGCAGACAAGTTATGATAAAAGGTTTATAATTTACATTATTTCAAGATGGAAATGTCCCTTTTTTCTTCATTTTATTGTTAATTTTCTACTTCCAATATTACAGCCAGATTGATAAACATATGCTTCCTCAACACATGAAAAGAAAAGAAGAGGCAAATCAAGTATGAAAAGAGTCTGTACAGGTCAGTTCCGTTATGTGTATGTGAAATGTAATTATATTAGTGTTCATTATAAATAGGTGGTTCAACTTGTCAATCAAATTGTAATCATAAATTGAATCCTTTATAGATCATTTTTATGTAATCATTATAATTTCTTCTATCGTTATTAGTTTTTTTTTTAATCTCTTAAAATGCACCAGATGCAATTATAGTTTCAACCATAGAGGATCTGAATTCAGTTAATTTATATTTTTATCATTTCTGTTACCATAGATAATTAGACACGTTTTTTCATGCTATGCTTGATGGCTGAGGAATGATCTTCATGTTTATAGCTTGAGAATGGTGTGGCTTCTTGTTTATTTTATTATATATAATATTGATAATATAAAGACCCCTTTGGACATCATTTCTTTTTTTGTTTTGGTGAATGGATATTACTTCTTATATATGCAAGCAATATAATACATTATGAGCTTCAGACGTGTTTCACGCGCATCATGTATTGCAGAAGTTTACACATCATGATCTTATATATCAAAATTAATATATTATAACAAATTTACATGAACAGGTTATATATATATATATATATTAAATAAGAGGTATTTTTATTCTATTTTTATATATGAAGAAGTTCAGGGAGTCAGGTTCTAGGGGCTTACCAATGCAGGGCATGCCTTTCTGTTCAAAAAGCACTTATAAAGGTAATTACAAATCATTTGCCATCAAGGTCCTTATAATGGCAATGAGATTTGAACCTATAATTTTATAAGTTATGAATCAGATTCTTACTAAATGGGCCAACTATTGTTGGCAAATATTAGACAGTTCTGTCTTCTATGATAAAATATATGAGATTATATCTTTTATGCAATCTTATCCAACAAACAAAATCTCTTATGCAACAAATCAAACGCTTCTAATATTGCAATCTTATCCAGTCTTATCCTATCAGGTATCATATTATTTGGTTTTATCCCATTAAACACTGTTAGGCTTTATAATATATAGGATGAAACCTTGAAATTCTTGCCCTACCTTGTTTTATGCATAATATAAAACATAAAATCTCAAGAAAAAAGGGAAAAGGACGTAGAAGAAAGACACAATCAATTATTAATGTTTAATGCTGTCCAATTCATGTTTGTCCTTTGAGCTTGGAGTGCCCTAGGTCAATCATGTTAGCAGATTGATTACGGATGAGTTCTCTAGTGGAACGATGTAAGGTCAAAACAATCTCATAGCCATCAAAATACGAGTCCATTCCTTCACCACCAATCATCCAAACCAAGCCTCCTGCAATTGTTCCTCCACTTTTTGCCAAGTTGTAGATGCTTGCATATACTTCACTCATAAATGAATCCCTCTGTTTAATACTGAACCCCGGATCTTTATTCGATTTTCCAAACTCGCCGAAAATTAATGGCTTCTTCAAGATGTTCTTCGAATCCGTCCAGTGAATCGTCAACCATCTTTGCAGGAACTCCATCTGGGCCTTCTCACTCTCTCCTGCTAGCCTGTAAGTTTACATCTATACATTAGGGTTTACTATATTTGACTAGGATATTCTCAAACTGATTTGCTTGTCTGTATTATTATTAACTAAGATTATGTCTCTCTTCCAACCAATTTTAGGTTACACTCCTCATATTTGAGAGACTAAATTATTTTTGGTTACCTTTATCAGCTTTTGAAAATTGCACTGATTAAATGACTTGTTTTTGAGTCTTGTTATTCATCACTTATGAACAGTGCAATTCCTTATAGACCATCCGTGTAACTGATCCGACTTAGTGGGATAAAACTATTTATTGTTGTTGTAGTATAATTTTAGAAGATAGACTTACCAGGTAGCCGGGTAGGCATGAATAGAAGCAAAATCAATATATGGACTAAGATTGTTGCTGATAAAATCAGTGCCATATTTTAGGGACTTGGGGTTGTAGTGAACCCTATCAGGTGTTGAATAGAATCCTTCCGTCCCCACTGTCACCAAATGCTTGTTATCTATGGATTTTACGTAGCTGGCCATCTCCTCCATCCATTTCTGCATCTCATTTTCAACATTCATCAACCATCACCAAATGCTTATTGAATTTGATTTAGATAAATAAAGTGAAATTAATGGTTAGGAAAGTTTCAAAAAAAGGGTTAAAGGAAGGGAAAATATGGGATAAGAAGAAGAGACTTACGCCAACGGTTTGGCCAGAAGTGTCAACTTCACAGCGGGGCTCATTCATGAGCTCCCACGCCATGATTGTGGGATCGTCCTTGTATGCCACTCCGTTCACCGTATTCCTCCTTGTCACTATCATCTGCCAACAAATCAACAGTGTGTTTTACCCAATAATAATAATAATAATAATAATAACAGTGTGTGTATCCTATTAATCTATTATCAATGTATTCGAGGTTATTTGTTATATTGTTTTTTTATGAGTTAAAGAGCAAAAATATTTAAGAATTTCTTTTGTTAAGAACATCCAGCATCTTTAAGTTAATAATGGCATACGGGTACCTATGAATTCTTTTTAGTAAGGTATATTTCCCTATCATGTTAGATTTCCCTAATATTTGTCAACATTAACCGTTGAAAAAAAAAAAGAGCAACTATTTGTGAACACAAGGTGCAAAAATGCCCAAACATTTTTTCTCCAAGTGCAAAAATGTCAAACACCATTGTTGACTTAGGTATTCTAGAAGTTTCTAGAGAAAATTTTTTTGAGTACATTTGCTCCTTAATGAAACATGTCGAGTTTACGTTAATGAATGTCAATCCATTTTAACAGTTTAGTGAAGGATGCTTTCATTAAAAAGAATTAATGGGTACTCATGCACTTTAATTAATTTAAAAATATTAGACATTTCTAGCAAAAAAATTCTTGAATATTTTTACCTTTTAACCTTCTTTTTATTTCATTATCCAATATTCTAAACAACCTGACCGTTGTTACCGACAACAATCATATGATATTGTGAGATGTCTTTAATATATTTATTTACTATGACTCTTAGGACTCAAATTTGAGACTCCAGTTTTAGGATAAATTGATTTAATTCCTTGGACTAGTTGAACAAAACATTCTTTTATATTTGTTGTATTTTTTAAATCAAGAATATCATCTATTGATAGTAAAATTATAAAATTTCTATTTTTAATGATAAAATCTCTAAACTATATAATCAATTTTAGAAAACACAAATTAGCCTTCATTTTTTTATCTAAATAAGTGAAACAATTATAAATATAAAATATAAAAATATTAATACTTTCTCGGTCCTATCTAGGGGGCGAACCAGCTTTAAATTTTAGGGGGGCCCTGAAAATCAGTATAAATACATGTTAAAATATCATGCAGATTCAAAAAATCAATATAAATACATATTAAAACATTACACAGCAGGCCATAATTTAGCTTTTCAAAGGATTAAGCTCCTCAAGCATTAATTGAAGGGCTGTTGAGAGTTTAAGGTTAAAAAGGACCAATTAATTAAAATAAAAGAGCTTTTGGCAGAGGGAATACTATTCATTGCCTTGTCAACAAAAACCCATAGCCATAAATCTCCCTTAATGGAGTCATGGCAAGAGATGAATGCTATATATAACTACAAGTCCATAGACAACATAGGTACGCTTCTAGTCTTATATATATTTTCTCCTTTAGAAAATATAAAATATTTTTTAAAGAATTAAATATTAAAAAATATAAGGTACTTTTAGTATTTTAAGATATAATCATTATCTTTTTTAAAGTGCCTTAATAAATAAATTATTTTATATTTATTTTAAAGTAAAACACCTTATTAAATAAGAGTAATATGAAAAGATTGTATTAGTTTAAAGATATATAACTATTTTCTTGAAGGGTGAGATTTGATTTAAACATAAAGAGTAATTCATTTCTAATTAACTCATTAAAATAAAGATAAGTTTTTTTAGCAAAAAAATAAAGATAAATTGATTAAAGTAATGAAGTTGTCTTAAAATTGAATTACTTTTCATTTTTGCCCTCACAAACCCTATCATTAAATTCTATTAGATTGGAACGGGATCAATATGACATTTCCAGAATATCTCACTAAATATTAATCTCTAAACTTTATCTCTTATAATTTAATTCTTAAAGTTTCAACCTCTTAACTATTGGTCCCTATGTTTAAAAAAAATTATAAAGATCAAACATACTTTAAAATTTTAATAATTATAATATTTATAAATATTAAAAGGTTTTAATAATTTAAGATATTAAAAATAAATTTTGAAATATTTTGAATCTTTATAATTTTATTTTTTAAAATATAGAGAATCAATATTTAAGAAGTTAAAACTTCAATGACTAAATTGCAAGAGGCAAAATTTAGGAATTAATTTACAATTAAGTTAAAATTTCAAGGATCAAGTTATAATGAGTTAAAGTTTAAATAATGAGTTATAATTAAATTAAATTCATAAATACCAAATGATTAATTTTTTTCAAAAAAAACAAAAGATGAGATGAGTGATGAAAAATTACGATTCATTTCTCAAACTTTATGCAACGTGCATTTGTGGAAGAATATAGAGATAACCTGGAAGAAGCGCTCGTCGTAGACGCCGGGAGATTCTTTTTTAAGTGTCTTGATAAATAAATTATTTTATATTTATTTTAAAATAAAATATTCTATTAAATAAGAGTAATATGAAAAGATAGTATTAATTTAAAGATAGACAATTATTTTTTTGAAGGGTGAAATTTGATTTAAATGTAGTGAGTAATTCATTTCTAATTAACTCACTAAAATAAAGATAAGTTTTTTTTAGCAAAAAAATAAAGATAAATTGATTAAAGTAATCAAGTTGTTTTCATTTTAGCCTTGCAAACCCTATCATTAAATTCTTTAAATTCTATTAGATGGGAACGGGGTCAATATGACATTTCCAGAATATCTCACTAAATATTACATAAAAACAATGAAAAGTGACAAGTATTAAAAAACCCTGATTTTTTTTTTATCCTAAGAACATGGCCAACATGTAAGACTTGGGGGATTTCTGCACCATCATACTGCTCTGCTCTGCTCTTGTTTATAGAGTGTAGAGAGAATAAATTTTTTATTTTATTTATCAGGCATGCCTTTTTTTTTCTTTTTATTTGTTATAAATTTTTTCTTTTTA